ATGCCAAACAATTTAGGCAGCATATTAAATTTCACACAGTAATTTGAGACAGCTCAGTTTACATAATTGAAAGTGAGGCCAAGGCTTGCTGACAAAGAATAAATGGAATGTAGACTAAGATTTTATTGCAGAGACTTGTAAATTTCTACAGGCATGAGTCCTTTAGTTTAAAGCAGTAGTTCTTTCATTGTGGCCAGGGGTCTAGGGGAAGGGGATCAGGAGGTCAAAACTATTTTCATAGTAATACCAAGGTGTCATCTGCGTCTCTTGTTCTCTCACAAATGCACAGTGGCATTTCCAAGGGCTACTTGACATGTATTGACGGCTAATGTGTGCTTGGGATTTCTTCTCTACTTTTTTAAAAAATAGGATTTAAAAAAAAATTGTGGTAAAATACACATAACAAAACTTACCGCTTTAACCATTGTTTACTGTACATTTAAGTGGCATTAAATGCAGTGACAGTGTTGTGCAACTATCACCCAGTGTTTATTTCCAGAACTTCTTCATTTTCCCAAACTGAAACTGTACCCCTTAAAGGGAACTCCCCATCACCTCTCCCCCAGCGCCTGGTAATCTATGTTCTACTTTCTATCTCTATGAATTTGACTACTCTAAGGAACTCCTATAAGTGGAAGCATTTGCCCTTCTCTGTCTAGTTTATTTTACCTAGCATAATGTCCTTTAGGTTCATCCATTTTGTGGCATGTGTCAATTTCCTCCCTTTAAAAAATTTTTTTTTATTGATTTCAGAGAGGAAGGGAGAGTAGGGGGCAGAGAGAAACATCAGTGATAAAAAGGATTCACTGAATTGCTGCCTCCTGCACACCCCACACGGGGGATTGAGCCCACAACCCTGGCCTGTGACTTGACAGAGAATCCAACTGGCAACTTTTCGATGCACTGAACGACCTAACAAAGCCACACCGGCCAGGGCAAAAAAGTTCTCAGTTTTAATGAAGTCCAATTTATCAACTTTTTCTTTTAGGGATTGAACTTCTGGTATATGTATCTAAGAAATCTTGGCCAAGGCCACAAAGATTTTCTCCTATGTTTTCTAGATATTTTATAGTTTTAGGGTTTCCTCTCTAAAAATCAATTTAAAAATTTGATATCCAGTTGTCCCAGTACCATTTGTTGAAAGGATGATTCTTTCTCCAGGAAATTGCCTTTGCACTTTCCTCATAAATCAGTTGCTCACATATGTGTGGGCCTATTTTTGGACACACTGTTCTGGTTCCGTTGGTCCTAATGTATGTCTTGATGCTTATGCCACGCTGTTTTTGTTGTTGTTTTGTTTTCTAATGCCGTCTTGATTACTGTAACTTAGTAAGTGCTCAAGATCAGGTGGTGTGAATCCTTCAGCTTTGTTCTTACCTTTCAAAATTGTTTTGAGTATGCTAAGTCTTTTGCATTTCTGTATGAGTTTTAGAATCAGTTTGTCAGTTTCTACAAAAAGGCCTGCTAGAATATTGATTGGGATTGCATTGAATCTGTAATGAATTTGGGTAGAATTGGTATCTTAACAGTATTGAGCTTACTGATCCATAGAACTTCATGTATCCCCACACGTTTAGATTTTTTAAAAATTTCTCTTAGCAATAGTCTGTAATTCTCAGTGTATAGAACTTGCACAACTTGTCATTACATTTATACTTAAGTGTTTCTTGGTCTTGATGCTATTGTTATGGTAATTTTAAATATTTAAATTTATGGAAGAGTTTGTATGGAATTGGTGTTATTTCTACCTTAAATATTTAGTAGAACTTTCCAGTGAAGCCATTTAGGCCTGGAGTTTTCTTTGTATGAAGTTCTTAAACTGAAAATTCAGTTTCTTTTATAGCACATGGTTACTCAGGTTATTGATTCCTTTTTTGAGTGAGCTTTAGTCGTTTGTGACTTACAAGGAATTTTTTTAATATGTTTATTTGATCCATATTTTTTCTTTGATCCGTAGGCTCTTTAGAAGTGTGTGAGTTGTTGCCATATAGTTGGGGAGATTTTCCAGGTATCTTTCTGCTGTTGATTTTTTTAAGAATATATTTTTTATTGATTTTAGAAAGAGGAAGGTAGAAGGAATAGAGAGAGAGAAACACCAGTGAGAGGGAAACATCACCTCCTGCATGCCCACTACTGGGGATCAAGCCTGCAACCCAGGTTTGTGTCCGTGTCCTGACCAGGAATCAAACCATAACTTCCTGGTTCATGGGCCAGTGCTCAACCACAGAGCCACACTAGCCTGGCTGTTGTTGATTTTTTTTTTTTTTTTTTTTAATATATTTTATTGATTTTTTACAGAGAGGAAGGGAGAGAGATAGAGAGCCAGAAACAACGATGAGAGAGAAACATCGATCAGCTGCCTCCTGCACATCCCCCACTGGGGAAATGCCCGCAACCCAGGTACATGCCCTTGACCGGAATCAAACCTGGGACCTTTCAGTCCGCAGGCCGACGCTCTATCCACTGAGCCAAACCGGTTTTGGCGATTTTTAATTTTTTAATTAAATTGTGGTCAAACAACATACTCCATATGATTTCAGTCATAAATTTGAGATTTGTTTTATGGCCATAACATTCTCTATATGGTCAGTGTTATATATGTATGAATATGAAAATAGTTGTGTATTCTACTGTTTTTGGGTGGAGAGTTCTATAAGTGTTGGTTCAGACCAGTTGGTTGATAGTGTTGTTCACGTTATTTGGAGGAGAGTGAAATCTCTGACTGTAATTGTGAGTTTGTCTATTAGCAGCTATAGCAATTTTTCATCCGTATTTTAAAGCTCTGCAATAGATTCATAAACATTTAGGATTATTATGTTCTTTATCATTATTAAATCACCTTTATTTCTGGTAGTATTAAGTGCTTTGGAGTCTACTTTGTGTGGCATGAATATAGCCACTCCAGCTTTCTTTTGATCAGTGTTAGCATGTTTTCCATTCTTCTATTTTCACCAATTTGTGTCCTTATATAAAGAGGTTTTTTTAGGCAATACATAGTGAGGTCTTGTTTTTTTTACCTATGTGCCAAATTTTGTTTTTTATTGGGTGTTTAGATCATCCCATATGTTTACTGATTAGGCAAAATTGATTATTTGTTTTACTTTTTGTACCATCTATTGTTAATTTCTTTTTCTGCCTTCTTTTCAATTGACTTTTTATTCCATTTTGTTGTCTTCATTGACTTACTTGCTATAACTCTTGTTAGTTTAGTGATATTTTTCTTTAACTTATGATAGTTTACCTTCACATGACAGACCACTTTACCTGTGGCATATAAAAGCATTAAAACAGTATGCTTCCCTTCTTCTTTCCAGCTATTGTGCTATTGTCACAGTTTTACTGCTACGTGTTATAAACCCTACAATTTAGTATACATGTTTTTGCTTTAAATAATTCTAGGTTGACAGCTATTTCTTTTTTTTTCTTTTTCTTTTTTTAATATATGTTTATTAATTTCAGAGAGGAAAGGAGAGGGAGAGAGAGACATCAATGATGAGAGAGAATCATGGGTTGGCCGCCTTCTGCACGCTTCACACTGGGGATTGAGCCCGCAACCCAGGCATGTGCTCTTGACTGGAATCGAACTCGGGACCCTTCAGTCCACAGGCCGACGTTCTATCCACTGAACCAAACCGGCCGGGACGACAGCTATTTCTTTTTTTCAGAATTTAAAAATGTTTCTCCACTGTCTTCCAGCTTGTATTGTTTATAATGAGAAACCTGTTGTCTTTATCTGTTTTTCTGTGTGATGTCTTTTCTCCTCTGGCTGCTTTTAAAATTTTCTCTATTGCTGGTTTTAAGCACTTTGATTATGATGTGTCTTGGAGTAATTTTCTTTGTATGTCTTGTGTTTGGGGTTCATTGAGCTTGTGGACCTGCAGGTTTATAGTTTCCATCAAATTGGGAAGTTGTTCTGCCATTGTTTCTTCAAATATTTTGTCTCATCCCCCCCTCCAAATACAAGTATGTTAAGGGTGCTTGAAGTTGTCCCACAGCTCACAATTCCAAGAAAACTTTATTTAAAAAAAAACAAAAACGGTGGGAAGGACAGGAGTTGGCCCATGAGCTGTAAATTTGCCAACCCCTTCCTCAGTTCAAGACCTTACTTGGCTGAGTTATTTAATATTTTTGTCTGGCCTTCTATTTTAATTGCTTCCAGAAATCATTGCTAGTGATACCTGCTTAAAACACGGATCTTACCATATTACTTGTTGGTCCCCTACACATACCAAATAAAGGTCAGCATTATCTTACCCTGAAAGCCACCACAGTCAGATTCTTCTTACATTTCCAATCTTATCGCCAGTGATTCTGCATTTGTCAGCTCACACAGTCTAATTGGCATGTTCTCCTGCCTTGTAATATTTCCTTAAGCCCTGCTTTTTCTGGATCGCTCGTCCCTTCCTATTATGTTATATGTACCTCTGAAACCATTACCTGCCTTGGGAACCCTGTTTACATCCCACCTTCTTTAAGAAGCATTCCTGAGCCCCCCAGGTGGAGGCAGTTTCTCCTTCATGTTGTTTCAGCATGTTCGAGTGCTTCTGTGGTGGTGACCTCCATTTGTGCTTTGTCGGAAAACCATGTGTGTGTGTGTTTATCCATATATGTGTATCTAGTGTATGTGTGTCTTCTCTATTGACCCAGAATCCCTCAGGAGGTGAGAGGTGTACCCTCTTGTTTCTGTCCCCTCTGCAGTGCACTGTATAGCCTGATGCTGAACAGAAATGCCACAGTGTATGTTTGAATGGTCGCACATAAAGGTCAGCATCTTGGGGGGATATGATGCTCTGGGTATTTGTGGCATTTTGGGCACAGCTCTTGGCTCTTCCTTGGGGCGTACATGCAAGCCTCCAAGGAGTGGGGCTGTAGGCAGGCTGTCTGGCCCATGCGCATGGGGACAGGGTGGTGGCAGGGCCAGGTGGTTGCAGGCCTGGCCACTCCTGGTCTCCGCTGCTACTGCCACTTCCTCAATGGCCTCTTGCCCTTTGGTTTCACAGAGCTGCGGTGCAACCCTGGGCAGTTTGCCTGTCGCAGTGGTACCATCCAGTGCATCCCTCTCCTCTTGCAGTGTGACGGCTGGGTGACTTGTGAGGATGAGAGCGACGAAGCCAACTGTCCAGGTGAGTGTTGAGCAGGCAGATGCACGTGGCCCATGCTTCCCATCAGGGGAGATGCTGTCAACTGGTATCCAATGCTATATCCATGTGCTGGAAGGTTATTTTAAGCTCCTCCTGTCCTCTTTCTTTCTCTGTCTTTTTTTTTTTTTTAATAGATGCCTAACACAGGTAGATCTCAGAAGTTTTAAGATGGCAGGGTGAGCATTGTGAGGCAAGAGAGGTGCCCATGATACCACATTTGGGGAGGTGCTGGTGGCCCTGAGAGCAGCACCTGAAGTATAGTAGCTTCTTCCCTTTCCTCTTGCCTGGTTTTGGAAGTAGGTGTCTGTGAAACTTGGCTAGAATCCTGACAAGGGTCACTTTTACTGGCCTTGGCTCTGCCTATCTACCCTGCTCACTCAGTCACTAGTAATCTTTCTCCTGATGATATGTGTGCTCACAAAGACAGAATGCCAGAGAGTCTAACTTGTTGTTTTCCTACCTGGTTTCTGTTCCAGTACCCTCAAAGAATGCAACAGCCCATGAGTAATGGTGTTCACCACACCCCGGGTTCTCAACTCGGTTAGGATGGACAGTGTAGTGTCTTGAGTGTACTCCTGCATGAGTATGTGAGAGACACACACACACATACACATGGAATATGTTTAAGACCTGGGTGGTTCTGATAAAAGCCCTAAGAGGAAGAAATCTCAGACCTAAACTCTTCAGCCTCACACTCAAATTTCTTCACAATCTGGCTTGTTTTTTGCCAATTCAATTTAGCATTATTTTCCCTTCTGTGACTCAGCTAGGCTATTTCCTGTGCCCACCCCATTAAGAATGTTCTAGCTTGGACAGCGTTGCTCAGTGGTTGACCGTCAACCTATGAATCAGAAGGTCATGGTTCAATTCCCAGTCAGGTCATATGCCCAGGGTGTGGGCTCGATCCTCAGTGTAGGGTGTGCAGGAGGCAGCCGATCAATGATTCTCTCTCATCATAGATGTTTCTATCTCTCCCTCTCCCTTCTTCTCTGAAATAAATTTTTAAAAAATGTTTTTTATAAAAAGAAAAAAGGAATTTCCTAGCCACATGCTTTGTTTATGCCTTTCTTTTTTCCTGGGATCCTTTTGGTTTGTTTCTATGTGGACAGATCCTGCCTATCCTTCAAGGCTTGGCTAGATGATTCCACAACATGAAGGCATCTGTGGGCTCCATGGCTATAGGTTGGCTTCTGCTAATAACCTGCTCTATCCCTCTCTGGCAGCACATAGAACCACTGGTAATTCTTCATCACTTGTGCCCATGCTTGATCTCTCCTTCCAGACTGAGTTCCCTGAGGACAGGAGACCTGTCTTCTTCCTCAGTGGGATGAGGTCCTTTTCAGCATTCAGTAAATGAAAGGAGTCTTGTAATTCCTATAGGCCAGGTGCTGGAAAAAACTCCAACTAGGGGATCAGGTGGGACATCAATTAGCATTTGACATTTGAGGTTGGGACAGTTCATTGAGGGATGGTTCCAAAACAAGAAATAGAGGTGGTCTGTTTGGAATGTATTTGTCTATAAAAATGACCCCTGTAGCCCTAACCAGTTTGGTTCAGTGGATAGAGCATCAGCCTGCGGACTCAAGGGTCCCAGGTTCGATTCCGGTCAAGGGCATGTACCTTGGTTGCAGGCACATCCCCAGTGGGGAGTGTGCAGGAGGCAGCTGATCGATGTTTCTCTCTCATCGATGTTTCTAACTCTGTATCCCTCTCCCTTCTCTCTGTAAAAAAATCAAAAAAATATGTATTTTTAAAAAAATGACCCCTGTAAAGGAACCCATTTTTTAAAATAATTTCTTTTTTTCAAAAAAAATATGTTTTTATTGATTTCAGAGAGGAAGGGAGAGAGATAGAGAGTTAGAAACATCGATGAGAGAGAACCATCGATCAGCTGCCTCCTGCACACCCCCACTGGGGGTGTGCCTGCAACCCAGGTACATGCCCTTGACAGGAATCGAACCCAGAACCCTTCAGTCCACAGGACAACGCTCTATCCACTGAGCCAAATTGGCTAGGGCAGGACTTATTTTTTAATCATCCCTTAGACCTGTTCTTCCTTCATTAGATGAGTATGTCTGTGGTTGAGGCGCCTACCTTTCCAAATAAGAGTTTGAATAGTGGTGGCCGGTTTAGGAGCCTCTGGTATAGTTCTGTGTCGGGGAGACCACCTGGTCATTCCTTGGGTCACAGACCAGACAGTGTGAACTTCCCAGTGTTTGAGAATTTCCTATATGCTGGGTCAGCCTGGTGAGCTTCCCCTGGTGTGACTTACAGGTTGAGGCTTCATATGTAGCCTCCTAGAGAGTTTTCTGAACAAAGAACCAAATGATTCCTGGCTTGCTTTAAAATGGGAGCATGGTTTAACTGCTGTTTTCAAAGCACCTTTTGGCTTAGCTTTGAAGGTTAGGTGTAATAACTGCCCTATTGTAGATATTGGAAACAATGATAGGCACTTGTATGGTTCAGCTTCATCTCTCAATGCTCAGTAGACTTGCTGAAGGCAGGAACTAGATCTGATTTCTCTTCTGGGTCACTTGGTTGGCACAAAGGGTTACAAGTCCGCTCAGTGTAAGTGTTGCCTTGAAGTTACATAGGTTCCTGTATTTTCTCCCCAGATAGAAAAATAAAGTCTATCCTACAGAGCCCAGAGTTCTGAGTAGATGGCATGTTCTAGGCCAAGCATGTCAAACTCACGACTGGACGTGAGTTTGACAACGCTTGTTCTAGGCCCAGACCATTGAGTGCATGATGACAACAAGTGTGCATGCACAAACTCACCAAGGACTAATCATTGGGCCACTCCAGCCAGAGCTTAGTCAGTTTGCTTTTGAACATGGACTTCAGGACTCTGGAGTGACCATGTGAGATTATTTCATTGCCCTGCTAAAAGCCTGCTAAAATTACAATAAGATATAAGGCCACAGGGTCAAAGAAAATGAAAGATGTAGCAATAGATCATAATTTCAATGTGGTTTTGTAAGATAGAAAATGGGTGGTATGCTAGATATAGGCTGGGCATTCGGTAGTACATTCCCTGCCTTTTGGGGTTGGAAGGCTCAGACCCCCTGCCAGTAGGCTCCTGGGTATCATTTGCCCATGAGATCCTTCCCTTGAAATTTGGAAAGTGGAAGAGATGTAGAAGAATCCTTCTTCCTCTGGCTCTGACGTGGATGTGTGGCTTAGACCGAGGTGAGTGAGTGCCGTGGCTTCCGCATCCCTCACTGGCCAACTGTCTCAGGGCTGCAGGGCAGCTGTGGTCTGGCAGCGCTTTTCTGCAGTTTCCTCACCTGTGAATGGCAACAGCAGCTTCCTGACTCTGGATGCAGCTGCAGTGGTGAAATAGTCAGAGGTGGCCCACTTGACACAAACCTCCAGCCTTTTCAGTTGTTTCTAAAGCACGACTTCCCTATATTAAACCCCTTTGTGTTTGAAATAGCTGGCATGGTTTCTATTCTTCTAACTGAACCATATTTGATATAAATGGGAACTAACAGAAGATGTGTAAAATTTTTAATGGAGAAAAAATTACAACTTTATCAAGAATTATTAAAGAAGACTTCTGGCAGGATGTTCTTGGCTAGGAAGACTTAATGTGTTAAAGCTGCCTGTTCTTCTTATACTGATCTGTGGACTCAGTGCATCTCCAAAGGGTTTTGGGAAATGTGGCAAGTCAGTTCTAAGGTTTGGAAGAATAATGTCCTGATATTGTTAGGGCACTTTGAAAAAGAGTCAGGAGTGAGCATTTCCCTTACCAGTGTCAAGGCTTACTTTACAGTTGGCTCAGGGTAGCATGAATTGGCCAGTAGAACAGAAGAGCTGCCAGAAACATGATATATGGCAGAGGTGGAATTACATGTCACTGGGCAAAGGTTAGATTCTTCAGTATGTAGTGCTGTGACAGTCGGAAAAGAAAGAAATTGGATCCCTAATGTACAACATACAGGAAAATTGGTTTCAAGTTAAAGAAAAACTTCTAGAAGATAATATAGAACACCTAAGATCTTCCCTTTATCAAAAGGTAGCAATAAAGAAAGTGAACAGAGCCTTGGGGACTTCCTGGATCACCCAACAACAGCAGAATACACATTTTAGGCTCTCTCATGTTAGAAATCCCATTTTGGTAAGTAAGTGTTATTTGACTTACTGAGTAACGTCTGATTTTTTACCATGATTTAAACTTGTTTTGGTGTAAAGTAGGAAAGTGATGTGTGTGCTGAAGAGGCTCCAGTCATTTTTGCCCTCTCCATTCAGAGAAGTTATAAGCTCATCTGGACCTAATATATTTGTTTAAGTTTCAGAAACACAAATTAGAATCACTCATATTTTGTATTTTATCCATAATAATAAAAGCATAATATGCTAATTAGACCAGATGACCTTCCAGAGGAAGCTAGGGCTGCGAGGCCCGGGTGCCAGAGGGAAGCCGGTGCTGGCAGTGGGGTGGGGGGGGAGGGGAGGGGGGGAGGAATTACTCTTGCATGAATTTCATGCATCGGGCCTCTAGTTTACATATAATACTCATTTCTGGCCAAATGCTATTGAGAAGCAAGCACGCCAGTACCTGCCCTGACTCAGTTTCCATGTTGGACTTGGGCTCTCGAGCAGCTGCCCAGCTTTCCCTTGAGGCATGTGCTGGGGAAGCAGAAAGCCTGGTGCCCAGTGGATCTGAAAGCCTGGAGAGGAGGCAGCTGCCCTGCGGGTCAGGTGGAGACAGCCTTCAGGTGGCCAGGTTGTGAGACAGGGTGACTCAAGTCTTGTGGACTTGGAGGAGGAGGGCCCACCTCTTCTGTGTTCCACTTCTGCTCTGAAGCAAGTCTCATAACACTACTGAGCCTGCTTTCCCATCTGTCTAACATTTCCCTTTTCCTTGTTTTTTTTCAATAGCAAGTCAACCATGTTGGCTTCTCCTTGCTTCACATCTCCTTCTGTGGGTTCCCATTCAGTCTTTGGTAGGCGGAGCTGCTCTGGAGTCCTGGTGAGGA